CTTAACACATTGAGGGTGACATTAGGCAAATTAAAGGGAAGCTTTTTGACTTAATACAAGCAAGACTGGGCAACCAAAGTACTTTTGAAACCTAAACTTAGAACATATGCTCTGTTTAAAGATACTTACTGTATAGAAAAATATGTAACTATGTGTCTCCCCAAACGCCAAAGATCATTGTGTGCGCAGCTGCGAGCTGGTATTTTACCTATCAATATTGAAACTGGACGGTACCAGGGAATTCCTGAGGAAAGTAGAATGTGTACCATGTGTGACCTGGATGAAGTAGAAAACGAAACACATTTTCTTTTTACTGTCCCTTTTATGACGATCTTCGAGAAAATATGTTTCGTAAAATTTATACAAAATCACCTGACATCATATGGGAAAGAGATGAAAATAGAATTAAGTGGCTCTTTAACGAGGGTGTATCTGACCTAGCAACTTTCATTTATCGAGCGTGGGGGAAAAGAAGAAAATACCTGTATTCATAACACATCAACAGTTCTCACCTTTTGTTACTTCTACACATTTGTTTTCTCTTATTTATATTTGATTTACCTTATGTACTTGTATTTATTTTGTGAAATCTTGGTTCTTTATCAAGTTTATGTACAGATTTGTTTATTTGCATTTATGATCTGTTATGAGTTCACTCTGTTCTGCTTAATTGTATATAGCCTAACTTTATTTGTGTTCACATTTTGTTTGGATTCTGTACCTCTGTTTCTCTGTTGTTTATGTATTATTTATTCTCAAACGGTGTCGTATAAGCCCACACGGGCTGGGCGTGGTATGCGCACGACACGAAAATAAAGTTTCATTCATTCATTCATTCATTCATTCATTCATTCATTCATTCACTCACCAGATATAGTAGTGGCTTACTAACGCAGATTGAACACCAGACAAATCCCATCATATTTTACATCGGTCATGACTTACAGTATATGATTAACTTCCGAATCATGTTCTGTAATTTATCACACTTACCCCCCTCCAATAGGAAACCACTAGAATAGTGT